GGAGGCAGGAGGCTGTTTGTGTGAGTGGACACCTCCACCACATATACACATACACATTTTCATTTTATTATGTGTATAGATAGATATAGATAGATTATTTACATGTGATCTATTAAACCAGGACAGAGCCCCAATTATTGCTGGACTTCAAATCCCAATAGTCCTAAGCAGATGGTGTCCAACTCTGTCACTCCTTCCCACCTGCTACTAAGGAGGATGTTCAGGTCCTGGACTGGTGCTTGGCAGCTATGTTGATCTGGATGAGGGCTAACAAATTGAAATTGAATCCTGACAAGACAGAGGTACTCCTAGTCAGTCGTAAGGCCAAACAGAGCATGGGGTTACAGACTGTGTCGGATGGGGTTACACTCCCCCTGAAGATGCAGGGTTGCAGTCTGGGTGTGATCCTGGACTCGTCGCTGAGCTTGAAACCCCAAGTTTCGGCGGGGACCAGGGGAGCATTCATATAGTTAAAGCTTGTGCACCAGCTGCGCCCGTACCTTGGGAAGTCTGACTTGGCCACAGTAGTCCATGCTCTGGTTACATCCCATATAGACTACTGCAATGCACTCTACGTGGGGTTGCCTTTGAAGACGGTCCGGAAGCTTCAATGTGTCCAACGGACAGCAGCCAGATTTCTAACAGGAGTGGCGCCCAGGGAGCACACAACTCCTCTGTTGCGCCAGCTCCAATTGTGCTACCGGGCACAATTCAAAGTGCTGGCTTTAGCCTATAAAACTCTAAACGGTTCTGGCCCAATTTACCTGTCTGAATGCATCTCTCCTTATGAACCTTCCAGGACTTTAAGATCGTCTAAGGAGGCCCTGCTCTCAGTCCTGCCTTCATCACGAGCACGGCTGGCGAGGACGAGAGACAGGGCCTTCTCAGTGGTGGCCCCCTGGCTATGGAACACCCTTCCTAAGGACATCAGATTGGCCCCCTCCCTTTTAACATTTTGGAAGAGAGCTAAAACTTGGCTTTTTGAGCCGGCATTTGCAAATACAGTGTAACAGACATAGGAAAATGGAATGTTTTGATGATGTGATTGGACGATGTTTTTAACGAGGAGACCCTAATGATACATGTTTTTATTTATTTTATTGATTCTGTTATGGTTTTATGATTCGATTGTTTTATTATATTGAAATTGTATTTTATGGTCTTGGTTCCAACTGTAAACCATCCCGAGTCGGGCTGAGAGGGACGGTATATAAATGCAGTAAATAAATAAACAAACAAATAAATAAGCAACTGAGCCAATGTTCAGGATGATGGGAACACACATAATTATCACTCCTACTTTACATTCAAACAGGAGCCTAGTTTTGCAGTTGAATTTTTCCAACTGCATATAAATTATGCATTTAACCTAGCAAGACCACACTTAACATTATAATTTTGCCTTCAGTTGTACATTTATGCACAAAATGATGAGCTATGTGGTTTTCATGAGAGAGTGGGTGCATTAGGCACAAACTCAGGAGGCCCTGACTTCTTTAGAATTGATTCATGTGTTCGAACTAAGATTGTGCAAAGAGATTCCTGAGGACTGTCTGCACCATGCAGTTGCAGCAGTGCAATTCAAGTTTAACTGCCAAAGCAACATCTTGTGAAATCTTAGGGTTTTGTAGGTGGGTGAGGAACTCATCTCTGGATGAGGATTTTAAACATTCCTCACTGCAAATCTCAGGATCCCATAAGATAGTGTTTCTCGACTTGGGGGTTGGGACCCTGGAGGGGGGTCGTGAGGGGGTGTCAGAGGGGTCGCTAAAGACTATCAGAAAACTTAGTATTTTCTGTTGGTCATAGGGATTCTGTGTGGGAATTTCTGCACAATTCTATTGTTGGTGGGGTTCAGAATGCTCTTTGGTTGTATGTGAACTATAAATCCCAGCATCCACAACTCCCAAATGTCAAGGTCTGTTTTCTCTAAACTCCACCAGTGTTCACATTTGGGCATATTGAGTATCTGTGCCAAGTTTGGTCCAGAGCTATCATTATTCAAGTCCACAGTGCTCTCTGAATGTAGGTGAACTACAACTCCAAAACTAAAAGTCAATGCCCACAAAATCCTTCCAGTATTTTCTATTGGTCATGGGAGTTCTGTGTGTCAAGTTTGGTTTAGTTCCATTGTTGGTGGAGTTCAGAAAGCTCTTTGATTGTAGGCGAACTATAAATCCCAGCAACCACAACTCTCAAATGTCAAGGTCTATTTTCCCCAAACTCCACCAGTGTTCACATTTGGGCATATTGGGAATCTCTGCCAAGTTTGGTCCAGAGCTATCATTCAAGTCCACAGTGCTCTCTGAATGTAGGTGAACTACAACTCCCAAACTCAAGGCCAATGCCCACCAAACCCTTCCAGTATTTTCTCCTTGGCCATGGGAGTTCTGTGTGTCAAATTTGGTTTAGTTCCATTGTTGGTGGAGTTCAGAATGCTCTTTGATTGTAGGCGAACTATAAATCCCAGCAACCACAACTCTCAAATGTCAAGGTTTGTTTTCCCCAAACTTCACCAGTGTTCACATTTGGGAATCTGTGCCAAGTTTGGTCCAGAGCTATCATTCAAGTCCACAGTGCTCTCTGAATGTAGGTGAACTACAACTCCCAAACTCAAGGTCAATGCCCACCAAACCCTTCCAGTATTTTCTGTTGATCATGGGAGTTCTGTGTGCCAAGTTTGGTCCAATTCCATCGTTGGTGGAGTTCAGAAAGCTCTTTGATTGTAGGTGAACTATACAGCCAGCAACCACAAATCCTGAAGTCTCATTACTAGTCTGGAAATAGCTTGGAAATGTTGGGTTTTAAAATCGAGGGGAAGAGAAGGGAAATTCCATGCATGTGTGAGAGAGAGAGTCATGTGATTTACAATGATGATTAAAGAAGCCTGACCAGGAAAGGAGGAAAGGAGGAAGTTTTGCCCAGCAGCTGGCACTGCAATTGCAGCAGATTACTTTCCTAATAACTTTAGGAATCAAAGCCATCCTTTGTCAGTACTTTCCTTGCTTGTCTGCTTCCTTTCTAGCTTTTGGGCTTTGTTGCCATTTTTTTCGTATCAGGAGCAACTTGAGAAACTGCAAGTCGCTGCTGATGTGAGAGAAGTGGCCATGTGCAAGGACATTGCAAGGAGACATCCGAATGTTTTGATGTTTTACCATCCGTGTGGGAGACTTCTTTCATGTCCCTGCATGGGGAACTGGAGCTGACAGAGGGAGCTCATCCACGCTCTCCAGATTCAAACCTCCGACCTGTCAGTCTTCAGTCCTGCTGGCACAAGGTGGTTAACCCAGTGGTTCTCAGCCTTCCTAATGTCGCAACCACTTAATATAGTTCCTCATGTTGTGGTGACCCCCAAACATAAAATTATTTTTGTTGCTACTTCATAACTGTCATTTTGCTACTGTTATGAATCGTAACGTAAATATCTGATGTGCAGGATGTATTTTCATTCACTGAACCAAATTTGGCACAACTATCTGATATGCCCAAATTTGAATATTGGTGGGGTTGGGAGGGAGGATTGATTTTGTCATTTGGGAGTTATGGTTGCTGGGATTTATAGTTCACTTACAAGCATTCAGAAGTCCACCAACAATGGAATTGAACCAAACTTGGCACACAGAACTCCCATGACCTACAGAAAATACTGAAAGGGTTTGATGGGCACTGACCTTGAGTTTTGGAGTTGTAGTTCACCTATATCCAGAGAGCACTATGGAGTTAAACAATGATGGATGTGGACCAAACTTGGCACAGATATTCAATATGCCCAATTGTGAACATTGGTGGAGTTTGGGGGAAATAGACCTTGACATTTGGGAGTTGTAGTAGGTGGGATTTATAGTTCTCTACAATCAAAGAGTGTTTTGAACCACACCAACCGTAGAATTGGGCCAAACTTCCCACACAGAACTCCTATGACCAACAGAAAATACTATGTTTTCTGGTGGTCTTTGGTGATCTCTCTGACACCCCCTCATGACTCCCCCCAGGGGTCCCAACACCCAGGTTGAGAAAGGCTGGTTTAACCCATTATGCCACTGGGGATCCTACTTGCTGCAATACTGTGACCACAAAGGTAATGCTGACCTGTTGTCTTGAAGATAGCTGCTTTGAATGGTTGCCCCAATCATTCTTGATAATATAAATAAAGTCTCTGGCCAGGATCCTGTTAGAGAGTGTCACAGTGAAGTAGGCATAAAATTAAGTGGTTGAGATCCTGTTTGAGATGGGTAGAACATAATGCTTCATTTTCATTATTTCAAGCACTTTTCCTCCTCCAGCAGCCAGCAAGCCCATGTTTCCCAGTCTCCTTCTATATAGCAGCAACAAACCCCACCTCTTCTGCTGTCGGTGTTTCCATCAGTTTCTTCCACACTAGAGAAAAAATCCACTTAAAATCCGGTTTCTGCCTCCTGCAGAATTCTGGGGTTTGTAGTTTACTGAGACTGTTGAAGGCCTCTCTGTAAACTACAAACCCCAGAATTCTGCAGGAGACAGAAACTGGATTTTAAGTGGATTTTTTTCTGTAGTGTGATGAGGTGAGTTTGAGCAAACAATGTCCTTTCTGTTGTTATCATATATCAAAGATAACAACAGAAAGGACATTGTTTGCTCAAAGTAAGAAACTGATGGAAACACCATTGTTATCATCTATCAAAGAAGGAGCCCCCAGTGGCGCAATGGATTAAACTCTTGTGATAGCAGGACTGAAGACTGACAGGGCAGAGGTTTGAATCTGGGGAGAGCATGGATGAGCTCCCTCTGTCAGCTCCAGCTCTCCATGCAGGAACATGAGAGAAGCCTCCGACAAGAATGGTAAAACATCAAAACACCCTGGGCAACGTCCTTGCAGACAGCCAGTTCTTTCACACCAGAAGCAACTTGCGGTTTCTCAAGTTGCTCCTGACACGAAAACATATATATATATCAAAGAAGTAATCCGTATATTTACTGTCATACCTTTTCTGATTGTTCTCTCTCTTCCTTTTGTGTCACAGCTCCCTGGAGAAAATGAAGCCTCACGTCGTGTACCAGCAGGTAAACTCTCAGTTGCACAAACTGGGTGGGTTGTAGTCTCATATGTAGATGTAGAAATATCCAAATAGCTTTGATAATAGTGATAAAGTTGAAACACAGCCTTACTAAAACAGGAGTGAGGAAAGTGCAGCCCCCAGATCGCATGTGTTCATGGCACAGCTAGTTAGTAGCCAGCTGCATTGAATCACTACTGACCAGGAGGTCATGAATTCGAAGCCAGCCCTGGTTGGAGTAAGCTCCCGATTATTAATAGTCTAGCTTGCTGTTGACCTATGCATCCTGAAAGACAGTTGCATCTGTCAAGTAGGAAATTAGGTACCACTTTATGCAGGGAGGCTACTTTAACTAATTTACAATGCCATAAAACCTTCCAGCACTGTGCAGAAGAATGAGGAAGTACTCCATCAAAGGACCCGGTGTCACAAGTGAAGCGGCAGTCCCCCTGTGGCCGGAACCGAGTATACTCTCATGAAGCCAGAAAAGCTGGAATGTTAAATTGCCTCTGTGTCTGTCTATATATATTTGTGTCTAAATGGTGTTGAATATTTGCATGTATATGTGCATTGTAATCCACCGAGTCCCCTGCGGGATGAGAAGGGCAGAATATAAATACAATTAATTAATTAATTAATTAATTAACCCATTTGTAACCCCCAGAACTTTCCCCAAAAGACTTCTGTCATCTCCTATTGTAAAGAAAGAGCCTTTCTGAAACTGAAACAATACGTAAATGACTGACGCCTATCTCATGAGGATATTGGGGATATTGGGGCATCTGTGGTGGAGGTACCTTTCAAATAATCTTCAGTGGATTGCTGGTTTGCCAGACTCCTCAGACAGTGACATTATGGGAATTTGCAATCCTCAGTTATGCAAACTGGGCAGTGAAGGAAACATTCGCCTCTCCCACTGAGTGGATTTCCGGGTTCCTTAATTTTCTTGTTCCTTAATTACAGCTGAAGACGCTGCACAACCCTGAAGAGCCTCCGCTGACTGAGCAGCCGAGACCGGCTCAACACAAGGTGAGTTCTCCGTTTTCCTTTCCTGTGAGCTTTTAAAAACTTAGGTCCCTGTTTTAACTTGGGGAGAGGAAGGAATTTCTAAGTTCCCGCTCTTGATGCCTTGCTTTAAACACTTAAAAATTACAGTCAAGCTCCATTCATTTGACTACAGAGTCTGCTGTTTTGGAGGTTCTCCTTGCCTACAAGTTTGCTTGGGACTGTTTGCATGCACATGCATGGTCCCAAGATCAGAACTGTCTTTGAATCACTTTCGAATATGTGGAAAAACTATTTTAACTTTACTTACTTACTTTACTTACTTAGACGATCCCTCATAGCTCGAGGATGATTGCCTTCCAGATATGATGTCTTGGCGGTGGGTCCGTAGGTGGCTCTAGAGCTCTATTCTTGATCCGCATGTTCTCTTGCAGTGAGGACATCAGTTTCCAGACTGAAGGCGGTCCCAGTCAGGGTTGGCTTGACGTGCCTTCTTCTTGACACGTTTCTCCCTTTTCCCTCAATGAATGCCTCTTCGAATTTTGCAGCACTGCTGGTCACAGCTGACTTCTAGTTAGAGCATTCAAGGGTCAGGTCTTTCTAGTTCTCAGTGTCTATGCCAGAGTTTTTAAGGTTGGCTTTGAGCCCATCTTTAAATCTCTTTTCCTGTCCACCAACCCTCGTTGGCCGAATAGGATAGTCTTCCAGGATCAATGTTTTGGTGGGTCCGTAGGTGACTGTGGAGCCCTATTCTTTATCTGCATCTTCTTCCGCAGTGAGGGCATTGGTTTCCAGGTGGAAGGTGGTCCCGGTCAGGGTTGGCTTGACGCGCCTTCCTCTTGGCACGTTTCTCTTTCGCCCTCCATTCGTGCCTCTTCAAATTCTGCAGCATTGCTGGTCACAGCTGACTTCCAGTTAGAGCATTCAAGGGCCAGGTCTTCCCAGTTCTTGGTGTCTATGCCACAGTTTTTGAGGTTGGTTTTAAGCCCATATTTAAATCTCTCTTCCTGCCCACTAACATTCCGTTTCCTGTTCTTGAGTACGGAGTAGAGTAACTGCTTTGCGAGATGGTGACTGGGCATTCAGACAACGTGGCCAGTCCAGCGGAGTTGATCGTGGAGGAGAATAATTTAAATGCTGGTGGTCTTTGCTTCTTCCAGCACGCTGACATTTGTCTGCCTGTCTTCCCAAGAGATTTACAGGATTTTTCAGAGGCAGCGCTGATGGAATCGTTCCAGGAGTTGTGTATGACGTCTGTAGACAGTCCACGTTTTGCAGGCGTATTGAGAGGACAATGGCTTTATAAACAAGCACCTTGGTATCCCTACGGATGTCCCGATCCTCAAACACTCTCTGCTTCATTAGGAAGAATGCTGTGCTTGCAGAGCTCAGGCAGTGTTGTATTTCAATGTCAATGTTGACTTTTGTGGAAAGTTGGCTGCCAAGGTAGCAGAAATGATCAACATTTTCTAATATTACACATTAAGAGGGATTGGCTGGTGACTGTTGGAAGAGCACTTTGGAGCCCCCGGTGGCGCAGTGGGTTAAACCCCTGTGCCGGCAGGACTGAAGACCGACAGGTCACAGGTTCGAATCTGGGGAGAGGCGGATGAGCTCCCTCTATCAGCTCCAGCTCCTCATGCGTGGACATGAGAGAAGCCTCCCCAAGGACGATAAACATAAAAACATACGGGTGTCCCCTGGGCAACATCCTTGCAGACAGCCAATTCTCTCACACCAGAAGCGACTTGCAGTTTCTCAAGTTGCTCCTGACACGACAAAAAAACCCCAAATGTTGATTTTAACTTTATCATGCATTCAGAAGTGATATATATAATCATGTTTATTTTATTTTAGTGGATAAAATGCATTTATAAGCTCAAATAACCCAGATTCCACTTTTCAAGCAATTTCACTTTCTGACAGTGTTCTGATCCCTAATGTGTCAGATAAGTAGAGACTTTATAGTCTCTTTCTGGTGGTAGTTTTTAAAATTAAGACTAATCCTCCAGACTCTTTAGTCTGGGGAGCTGGATTTCATCATTTGGCTCCAAGTTGCCACTTTCACAGTGCCCATGCTATGACTCTATGTTGTTAAGTTTCATGCCAGTGCTGGCTGGTGATTCCCATGTCAGTGGAGGAAGAAAAAAAAAACACTCTAAAGTTTTCACTCAGGGTTTAAAAATGTTCTCCAAAGTGCTGAACCTATTCCTAAATATTTTAGCACCTTAGACATCGCCATTCAAAATAGTGAAAACCTGAATTGGCTTGCCTGCTGACTAACATGGGAGTGACTTGTGAGCCGTGGTACCAAATTATGTGGATTTAGGTACCAGATCACAAGCCAGCTTTTTCTCATCTTCTTTCAGTTCTTCCCACGGGACTCCCATTACATCTTGGTGACAGCGATCTTGTCTACAATGCTGGTGGCAGCCCTTTTGGTCCGGATGTTCCTCTTTCCCTTCTATAGTCCAGCTTCTGTAGAGACTGTGGTGGCCACCCCATCCCTGGACAACACGTGCAGTGACCCATGCAGGTGAGTATCTTTCCTTCTACAGACACAGGTTGTTAGGAACTGTGGGAGTTGAAGTCCAAAACACCTGGAAGGCCAGTTTGCCCCATGCCTGCTTCAGAGGGACATCTTTCTCTCCTTAGGGTCACACTGGTGGAAAGTATCCCTGAAGGGCTGATCTACGATGACAACAGTACCATCAACCCTTCTATTTTCGAGGCCTGGATGAACATTTTGGGAGATGCGAGGAGCACTGTGGATATTGCCTCTTTCTATTGGACCTTGTCGGATGAGGACACTCATACCCACGATCCCTCCTCCAGCCAGGTGAACAGGCAGAATTCTTCTCAAGGAATTATATTCTGTGGAATGTTGCCTGTTAGTGAAATAGGCCAACCTGGCTGAAGGATTCTAGGATATATATATACTAGCTTGGGGACCCGGCGCTGCCCAGGTTATTTCAGAAAGGCATTGTTTGTCTGTGCTCCAAATTTAGTCTAGATCCAATATCAGATGGGTCCAGTGGGTGTGTGTGAACTACAACTCCCATATGGAAGTCCCATCACCCATCATCCATCCTCCTGCAAAACCACATCAGGATGTAGAGTTGGTCATGGGGGCTCTGTGTGCCAAATTTGGTCCAGACCAGTCATTAGTGAAGGTCTTAGTAGTCTCAGGAATGAGTGAAGGTGGTGCAAGTCCCACCACCCATGGTCCAAAGTCTTCTAAACTGCACCGGGATGTAGAGTGGGGTTATGGGGGATCTGTGTACCAAGTTTGATCTTCATCTGTCATTGGTGAGGGTCACAGTGGTCTCATGAAGCTAGTGAAGGTACTGCAAGTCCTATCATCCATGGTGAATCCTCCTTCTAACCAAAACAGGATGTAGAGTGGGTCATGGTGGCTCTGTGTGCCAAGTTTGGTCTTGATCAGTCATTGGATGAGGATCGAAGTGGTCTCAGGAAATGAGTGAAGGTACTGCAAGTCCTATCATCCATGGTGAATCTTCCCTCTAACCAAAACAGGATGTAGAGTGGGCCATGGTGGCTCTGTGTGCCAAGTTTGGTCTTGATCAGTCATTGGATGAGGATCAAAGTGGTCTCAGGAAGTGAGTGAAGGTACTGTAAGTCCCATCATCCATGCTGAATCCTCCGCCAAACTGTACCAGATAGGCAGTGGGGTGGCTGCTTAACTTTAGATCCTGGATTGTAGGCTCTTATGGAGAGATGACTGTGTATATTACTGTATTACTTCAATTGTAAGATGCATCCTATTTTCAGGACCACCACTACCGACAAAAATGTATAAGATATGCCTGCATTTCTAAATTTTTAGGGTTTTTTTTTTTTGGCAGTGTAGATGAGGCCCTAATGGGACACTCAAACCACTACATTATCCTGGAATAATTTTGGAATAACCTTGAATCCTCTTAAGGACTGTCTCATGGTGCAGAGATTGTAATGTGTTTTTTTCTTTAAATTGCTGGTGTCTGTTAAGATTTGGGTCCAATTAGACTTGACAACTCATATAGGCACTGCAAACAAGCGTCTAATTGACTGGCCCATTCAGGCTTGAGTGCCTTGAAAGGTCTCTTTCAGGGAGAGTGGAACATCCTTTTGTTGAGGGTTTTGGTTACGGAGGCTTGAGCAGCACTACTTTTGACAGATTCCTCGGCAGTGGAACAGATTTGGTTTTCCACATTTTCATGTGAGACGCCATCAATCAGGGAACTTTACTCACAAGCTCTGACCCTTTGGGAGAGCAGAGTATTTTTTTGATGGTGGCTAAAGTGAGGAGACCTTTTGGCAGGTTGTTGTTTCACAAGGGAGAGAAAGCTTAACAGACAGAAAGTATTTTTTTGGTCAATTATCAGGAGGGAAAGATACTAGAGACAAAGTTGAAGTACTTTGGCCACATCATGAGGAGACAGGAAAGCCTAGAGAAGACAATTATGCTGGGGAAAGTGGAAGGCAAAAGGAAGAGGGGCCGACCAAGGGCAAGATGGATGGATGGCATCCTTGAAGTGACTGGACTGACCTTGAAGGAGCTGGGGGTGGTGACGGCCGACAGGGAGCTCTGGCGGGGGCTGGTCCATGAGGTCACGAAGAGTCGGAGACGACTGAACGAATGAACAACAACAACAACAAAACCACTCTGATGGTAATGTCGCGACCCCGGGGGGGGTCATTGGGCCATTTTTGGGGGGTCATGAAACCGGCTTGGTTGGCCCCGTCCCCTCCAAAATGGCTTCCCCCCCAGGGCCTTGCAGCTCAGGAAGCCTTTTCTGCCCGGCCCCCGCCTCCTTCCGACCTCAGGCATATTGAGTTTTTGTGCCAAATTTGGTCCAAATGCAGTCATTTGGGTTCACAGTGCTCTCTGTATGAAGGTGAACTATATCTTCCATAAATCACTGTCAATTCCATCCAACCCCCTCCAGTATTTTTCTGTTGGGCATTCGAGTTCTGTGTGCCAAGTTGTGGATGTCTCAGTGGTATGTGGAAGTCAGAGCTGAATCAGTTGAAGGTACTGCAAATCCCATCATCCACTGTCCATACTCCCCAAACATTGTTTTTTTGTGATCAATCACTATGCTTTAATTATGCTCAATCTGTAATAATGAAAATGCATAATTTCCATTATGCTTCATAAGAGTAGCAAAATTACCGTTATGAAGTAACAATGAAAATGTGGTTGGGGGTCACCAGAACATGAGGAACTTTATTTAGGGGTCACGGCATTAGAAAGGTTGAGAACCACTGACCTAGTAGTTTCTTGGTCCCCCCCCCCCCCAGACTGATCTTGGGCAAATCACATTTTTTTTCATCCTGAAAGAAAAACAATAACCTCTGAGTAAATTTTACCATTTTTTACCCTACTTATTTGACAGGTTAGGGATCAGAACACTGTCAGAAAGTGAAATTGGTTGAAATGTGGAATCTAAATTATTTGAGCTTACAAATGCATTTTGGCCTCTGAAAAACATAAACATGATTATATATGCACAATAAAGTTAAAAGGTGGGTATATTCTGAAATGATGATCTAATTATTATAAATTGCCTTTTTGTAGATAGTTGCATGAGAGCGGGGCCTAAGCATTCCTATTTAAATAGGTTTATTACACTATATCCTGGAAAATGGCTGAAGGCAGCTTGTGTTGACGAAAGGGTGTCTGGTTTCAATTGGAAAAGTCAAATAGAAATATCAACTGTTGAAAATGACTGGTACAAAAGAGTTGCGTTTATGGTGCTTTGCTTGGATTTGGTTGAGAGTGGCCTCTCCCCTTCATCATTTATATTTGGGTAGATATAGTTCATAGTTCTGAAGAGCTCCTTTTGAAGTGGGGTGGAGGTAGCAATAATATACAAATTCAGCAAGATCACTCAGAACTCCAAAAGATATAAGCAATTTCAACTGGGAATAGTTCCACTTAACTCTCAGACATAGAAGGGCTGGAGGGAAAAATAGAACAAGAAGGGACCTTTGTTGACTTTGTGCAGCAGCAGGTCTTATACGGTGCTTGCTTTGCAAACAGGGGGAAGAAGTTTTATCCGAGCTGCTGAAACTGCCCAACCGAGGGGTCTCCGTGCGGATTGCGGTCAATCCCCCTTCCGCTCATATGCCGTGCAGTGATCTCCGGAAGCTGGAGGAAAGCGGTGAGTAAATCCAGGCAGCCACAATAAGGCTTGAAAAGCTGAAGGCAATGATCAGAGAATGATGATTCCTAAAGAAAAGTGTAGAACTGAGCAACCCAAATTATTCAGAAATTGGAGCCTACAAAGAAAGGATATTTAGATTCTAAGATTGTCAAGTCTAAGGGACTGTCAAAAAAAGGAATAGATCACAAAGGGGTTGTCCAAACATTGGCTAGAAGCAATCAGAGAGAGTACCATATTTACTTGAATCTAATTCTCACCTTTTTTGGCTAAATTACTGTTTCAAAATTGGGGTGTACATAAGATTAACGTCGTACAGTAATCTTAGTGCTGAGTCTAAGCAAAAGGGGAACCTGCACCAGGAGAGATGTGACCTCTAATTTAATTGTCATGGCTCAAAGCTATGCAGTCCTGGGATTTGTAGTTTAAGGAGGCATCAGCATTCTTGGCAGCCCTATGATCCCAAACTACAGCCCCCATGACCCCATAGCATTGAGCCAAGGCAGTAAAAGTGGATTAATTCTACAGCCTAGATGCACCCAAGGTTTTCATTTCCAGTGCTGAAGAAGCTTTGGTACTCTGACACTTTAGTTTTTAAAGAAGGAATTCTTAGCAGACAGCAACTGTAATGCACAACTTTTTTGGCCCAAATTACAAAGAATGTCATTGTGCATAACATTCAGCAGCCAATACTTTTTGGTTTCAGGGTTTTGAAATCTGAGGTGTTAATTAGATTTGATGGCACATTAGACTCGAGTAAATTTGGGTAATTTCCTCCTAGTTCTGGAACCTGTTTCTCACATTGCAATTGCCATCCAGACCCTAAGAGGAAATCCAAAACAGGAAAAGGAGTGTTACAGTCAGCAAATCACACTCTCCTAGCCTCAGAAGAAGGCAACACCTACATCTCCCAAACAAATCTTGCCAAGGAAACTTATTTAGGATCACCATAAGTCAGAAATTATTTGGAGACACGCAACAACAACAGTGAGCTGAGACAAAAACTAAAACAGTCTGCTTCCCAATCTCTCCAGGTGCTCAGATCCGCAAGGTCAACCTGCCCAGGCTTACCTCAGGAATCCTACACACCAAATTCTGGATTGTGGACCAGATGCACCTTTACATTGGGAGCGCCAACATGGACTGGCGTGCCCTCACACAGGTAAGGCACTTTCCTGAGAGACTCACAAAGTCAAACATCACAGTTGCCCCATGCCTTGGCCTAACAGAAAAAGGAGTGTTTAGATTATGAGCCTAAACAATGGGGATGGGCCAGGAGCATCTCTAAGGTCACTAACAACACAGATGTACATTGATAGGTAAGTTGTAAGAATGCCAAAGATTCTCTTCTCTGCATATCCTTCTCAGCTGGGGCAAGACAGATGTCAACAAAGCAGGGGGCATTTGGCGAGGCGTTGTGTTAACCATCAAGGAATTTTCTCCCGCAAGAAAGCTGGGTAGTGGCCCTGCTCGTGATCCCGCCCGCGTCACAAGCGCGCTTGGTGGGGACGCGAGACAGGGCCTTCTCCGTGGTGGCCCCCCGCCTCTGGAACGCCCTCCCGAAAGATCTCAGACAAGCCCCTACACTGGCAGTCTTCAGAAAGAATTTGAAAACCTGGCTGTTCCAATGTGCCTTTTCAGATTAGGAATCTCCCACTACCAAATCCCAGAAGCACTTTAGTACCAAATCACCGCACACTGCACACCGCACTTATATCATAATCCCACACCCCTCCGATACATCAGCACTTTTAACCTTGTACCCCTACTCCGGCCGACTCAGTTTTTAATAATGTCTTGTCGTATTGCTATTGTTATTGTTTTTCTGCTTAACTGTTTTTATTTGCTAGATATTGTATTGTTGTATTGTGTTGGGCTTCGGCCTATTGTGAGCCGCATCGAATCCTTCGGGAGATGCTAGCGGGGTACAAATAAAGTAATAATAATAATAATAATAATAATAATAATAATAATAGTGTGACAGTGTCATTCTTCAGGTGTTCTAAGCAATATTTTTATTTATAAAAAGATTGTAAAGAAATACAGCTACATGTAACATGTCTAAGTCCCACTCTGCAACAGCTGTTTTAGGAGAGAAGTGGAAACCTTGTGATGCTCTGCATGTTGCTTGATTGCAACTTCCCGTATCCCTCACTATTGCCTGGGCTGATGGGAGTTGCAATCCAACATCTGAAGAGAGCATGCCATTCTCATTCTTGTTTTAAGGCAGTGGTTCTCCCCAGATGTTTTGGCCTTCAACTCCCATAAATCCTAACAGCTGGTAAACCGGCTGGGATTTCTGAGAATTGTAGGCCAAAACACCTGGGGACCCACAGGTTGAGAACCGCTGTTTCAGAGGATATTGTTATGTTTCCTTGCTGTTGCTTTGAAATCCAGCAAATGAAGAGCCATATGTCTTAAGGAAGGCATGCCGCTCTGTCATCCTCTTGAGCATGACAGAGATTTGGGGCACATCTTTTGGGTTATGCATGGATGTTTCTCCAGGGAAAGGTAGCAGTGGCAAAATAGCTTGGCCTCATTCTGTTGGAAATAGCAACCTCCCAAGCCTTTCACTGTTTATATATATTTGCTAACCTGTATTCTATGTGCATGTTAATTTGCCAGTTTGACTTACTACTTTGGTGTGGGAGGGTTTATATACACGTGATTATACCGAGCATGTTCAGACTCAGGATACCATTTTTGTATTCAGTCTGCTTTACACCTTACTGGAGGTGGATGCATGTTGCTATTTGGACTTTAATAGAGAAATATGGCTTATGGACTTCAGTGAGTACAGGTATAGCTAAAGACTATTGATAATGAAAGATAGCTTTTGTTCTCAACACACAGAGGAAAAACTACATCCTATTCATAACTGAACTTTACAAAAAAATATGCCTCTATGGTTTTTTTTGGGGGGGGGGGGTTGTTTGTTTGTTTGTTTGTTTTTGGTCAGGAGTCAGGAGTCAGGAGCGACTTGAGAAACTACAAGTCACTTCTGGTGTGAAAGAATTGGCCATCTGCAAGGATGTTGCCCAGGGGATGCCTGGATATTTTTGATATTTTACCATCCTTCTGGGAGGCTTCTCTCATGTCCTCACATGGGGAACTAGAGCTGACAGAGGGAACTCATCCACACTCTCCCCAAATTCGAACCTGCGACCTGTTGGTCTTCAGTCCTGCTGGCACAAAGTTTTAACCCATTGCGCCACTGGGGGCTCCTGCCTCTATGGTGAATTCATACAAGTTGTTTATGAGTAAACAAGATATGTTATTTTTCAAATAAGACTTTATTTTTTATCTCTAAGTGCATATTTTAACTAAGAGGTTTCAAGGGAGTGTATATCTTTTGGGCAATTACAACTGCAAAGAAACAACCGTCCTATGCTAACTAATATATTTTGTAGTGGCATGTCTTTAGCCGTGGCAGTTTAAAGACACGGTTCTTCAGTTTAATAGCTGAGTTACCTGTGTGCCATTACATGAATGCTCATGAATATCACTTATTCAAAAAGCTGCACAGTTCCTTCCTCTTAACCTTGAAGGAAAATACCTGAATAATACCCTTCTCTTCTGGTGACAGGTGAAGGAGCTGGGAGTGGCTGTGTACAATTGCAGTTGCTTGGCGCAGGACTTAGGGAAGATGTTTGAAGCATACTGGGCCCTGGGCTTGCCCAACGCCACCATCCCCTCGCCCTGGCCAGCCAATTTCTCCACAGCGTACAACAAGGAGACTCCCTTGGCGCTCCAGTTTAACGGCACGGATGCCGGGGTGTTTTTCTCGGTGAGTACTTGGTGCATGTATGATACAGCTGGGCATTTTGTGTATTTAAAGCTGGTGCCAGTCTCACTTGTGGAATTCCTGGCAACCAGATGTTCTCAGAGGAGACATCCCCATCTAATGAATAGTTTCCAGCTCTGCTGTTTGATGCTGGACACAATAATAAATTCTACCCAGGCTGTCCCTGGCCAATGATCAGGTTCACCATAGCTAGCTATATGAACCCCTGAATTGGGGGGAACCCCTTCCAGGGTGAGGCCGGTGGAAAATTGATTCCCAAGAGTTATACAGTTCAAACAACAACAAACACAACCAAACTGCACAAATGAATCCAACTTTCTCATGCCCTCTGTAGTTATGAGACCTTTGTAACCAGGTTAGTAAGAGTGGAACATTAATTCCCCCGGTCGGTTCTCTGTATCTGATCAATGTTTGATGTTTTGTCTTATGTCTGATATAACAGGTTGTGGTTAATTTAGGTGTTAAGGTATAATTTGTTTTTATATGTTGGGTTGTCAATTTTTGTTATGGGTATATTCTTTTTGTGTTCGGGCATTCATGTTTCATGTTTGCCTTTTATGTTTTGGAATCTGCCCTGAGTTCCTCTGGGGAGATAGGGCAGAATATAAATAAAGATTATTATTATTGTTGTTGTTGTTGTTGTTGTTATTTGAAACACAACAAGATGAGTCCACACCAGACACTCTGCTGGCTGTTGAATTGGAGCACACGTCGGACACTTCCCAAGTGTCTAGGACTGTGTGATGTATCGGCGAATGATGTGTGCAGATCCCAGTAAGGTGGCTTTCTGCAGCTGGCAGATGGTAATTTTGTCAGCATCGATTGTGTTTAAGTGCAGGCCAAGGTCTTTAGGCACTGCACCCAGTGTGCCGATCACCACTGGGACCACCTTTACTGACTTGTGCCAGAGTCGTTGCAATTCGATTTTTAAATCCTCATATCGTGTCAGCTTTTCCAGTTGTTTCTCTGCAATCCCGCTGACACCTGGGATTGCAACATCGACGATCCATACTTTGTTTTTTAACACGATTGTGAGGTCAGGAGTATTATGCTCCAAAACTATCTGTCTGAATCTGGAAGTCCCAGAGGAGTTTGGCGTGTTCATTCTCTGTAACTTTTTCCAGCTTGTGTTCCCACCAGTTAGTTGTTGCAGGCAGATGGTATTTGTGGCACAAGTTCCAATGAATCATCTGAGCAATGGTGTTGTGCCTCTGTTGTAGTCTGTCTGTGCGATCTTATTATTGTTATTATTATTATTACTACTACTACTATTATTGGCTCTCATTTCTGCCTCTTCTCTGTCCACGTCACAGAGTGCTCCTCCAGCCCTGTGTGCCACAGGACGGACTGAAGACCTTCAAGCCCTTCTTGGTGTCATTGATGAGGCTCAGGAATTTGTCTATATCGCTGTGATGAACTACTTGCCCACTATGGAGTTCTCACATCCCAGGAGGTAATTGAGAGAGGGAAAGTGCCAGACCTAATCATAATTTCTTATGGCCTGATATGTGTTGCATTCTGAGCATTCTCAGTCTCCATCCCATCAGCATTTACGTTCCAACTGTTTTCTGAAAATATGAGGATTCCCAAAACTCCTCCAGCATTGTGTTTCCAATGCTGGAGTGTGCCTCTCCTCTTCTGCTTTGGTTAGGCCTTGCTTGGAATACTGTATCCAGTTCTGGGCACCACAGTTTAAAAGCTGGAAGGTGTCCAGAGGAGGGCAATTAAAATGATCAAAGGTCTGAAGACCATGAATCTCTGTGAAGAGCATCTTAAAGAGCTGGGCATGTTTAGCCTTCAGAAGAGGTTGAGAGGAGACATGATAGCCAGGTATAAATATGTGAAAGGATGTCTTAAGGAAGAGGCTTGTTTTCTACTGTGCTGGAAACTAGGATTTGGAGCAATAGATTCAAATTATAGGAAATGAGATGCCACCTGAACATTAGGGAAAACTTCTTAACCATACGAGCTGCTCAACAGTGGAATTCTCTGCCTCAAAGTTTGGTGAAGGCACCTTCCTTGGAGGCTTTTAAACATAGGCTGGATGGCCATCTGTCAGGGTTGCTTTGAATGATCTTTTTCTGCATGTCAGGAGAGTTGGACTAGATGGTCCATGTGGTCTCTTCCAACTCAATTATTCTATGATACTATGAACAGGACTACTTTATGGCAAGTATACTAACTAGTTGTGAAGTGGCTGCCTTTGCTGCACTCCAGGACAGGAAAAGCCCTCTGACTTTAAACACCACACCGTTGGATGGAAAACAGTCCTTTTATTGAAGATAATTAAAAAGCAGTAAGGTAAAAAAAAAAAGCACTTTAAAGACATAGGTAAATCCAATTAGGTAGGAAGATAAGCAGGAACAAAGTACTCCAGGGCAATAGTCCAGCAAAGTCCATAAAAACAAAGTCAAAATTTCCCAAATAAAATGCAAGAAATCACAAAACACAAATCCAAGGCATGAATATGGAAGCATAGATGAAAATCATGAAGCAAAGGCACTTAAAACATGAATTTTCCAAGCAAAGCTTCCATGAACAAGGATGAGAACTTGGCTTGATTCCAAACGATGCTTCATCTGACTACCTATCCTGTACTTGGGACTTTTATTTCCTCATTAGCTATGTCTCTAGCACTCAGAAATTGGTTTCACTTTAGCTGAGAATTTCTTATCCTTTTCTCTTGGAGCCTGGCAGACCGCCGAAGCCACTGTTCGGCTCTCCTGTTTTGACTGATCTCCTCCCGCCTGCCTATTTGCTCATTAATTTCTGCAGCTGGGCCAGGTGCTGAGCTGTTCTTATGTTCTCTATCATGGGAACTCTCTGGTAACAATTCAGAAAGCACACCATCATTCCCATACCTCTCAGGGACATCTCATGGGAAACTACACTCTGAACAGGCATCTCCTGGTCATTCTCTACATCAGTATCACTGGCCAAACCATTGCCATCTTGAAACTTATCCTGCAACTCATTGACAGCCTTGTCTTCAGCATCTGCTGCTCAGATATACTGCCACTGTCCATGGAAGTCTTATCAAGGAATTAACGAATGTTGGTGATAGCTTCGAGCTGCAATATAGCTTTGTGCTAGGATGCTTGTATTGCATTGCATTGGTCCAAATCAGTTCTCAGCATCTTTCCTTAAAAAAAATCAACTTCAACTCGGCACTTGAAGAGGCTTTTAGCAGTTAATGCCAACAGTGCAAGAACCACCAATGATCTAATCTAGTTCATGTTCCAGATCTTAAGAGGTGTTTAGGAAAGTCCCTTTTTTGAACTTGCTCAGCTATGTTGGCCATTATTTGGGAACTGCCAGGGATGATCATGGGCAGGAGAGTAACTGCCAAAAGTCACAGTATGGACTCCGAACTCTTGGCTGTTTCCACTCAGGTTTTGGCCAGCGATCGATAACTTTCTGAGGAAAGCAGCCTACGAGAGGCAAGTGCGAGTCCACCTCCTAGTCAGCTGCTGGAAGCACTCCAAGGGCAACATGTTCCCCTTCCTGCGATCCCTAAATGCCATGCAGGACAACCGGACCCACTACAACGTGGAAGTGGTGAGTAAACTCCAGAGTTGGAGCAGTCCATGTTTGTGGGGAGGAAAACCTCTGAACTCTCACTTTCTCTCCAGTAGCTGTGCTCTTTTGGAACGGAATTTGCAGTGGCCTTTCCTTTTATACTCCTGTCTCTTTGTGGTTTTTATTATCTGTGGGTTGAATGTACAGTTGCCCTCTCTATCCACGGAATCAGCACCCACTCATTCAAGCAACCACAACTTGAAAATAGAAAAATACTTTTTTAAACTTACCGTATTTTTACTATCTTATCCAAGGGACTTCACTTTACTACTCCAGTGTATAGAATGGGACTTGAGCATCCACAGATTTTGAACCAAATGCAAAGAGTCCACTGTATAGTGTCTCCTGTGCAAAAAAAAAACCATCACCTTACTATCTTAAAAAGGGACTAGTTTAGTTTCACAACTGTGTGAAATAACTTGCTCCTATTTTTATCTCATTAGAGTTTTTTAACATTTTATCCTGTACATGTGGCCCCGCCTACTGTTACTGTGATTGTGTTTATTGTAATGCTATGTTGTTACTGTATTCATATGTTAGTTTGTTTTGTTTTTTATGTAATTTTGATGATGTTGTTTGTTGTTTATGTTTTGGTTTTATTTTGCTGTAATACGTTGTCCGGGATTATTATTATTATTATTATTATTATTATTATTATTATTATTATTGTCAAGTTATGGGCCACAGCAGTAGTTCTCAACATTCCTAATGTCTTAGCCACTTAGTATAGTTCCTCATGTTGTGCTGACCCCCAACCATAAAATTATTTTCATTGCTACTTCATAACTGTAATGTTGCTACTGTTATGAATCGTAACGTGAATATCTGATATGCAAGATGTATTTTCATTCACTGGACCAAATTTGGCACAAATTCCCAATATGCCCAAATTATAATACCGGGGGTGGGGAGGGGGCTGGGGGGGTTGATTTTGCCATTTGGGAGTTGTAGTCGCTGGGATTTATAGTTCACCTACAGTCAAAGAGCATTCAGAACTCCACCAACAATGGAATTCAACCAAACTTGGCACACAGAACTCCCAAGACCAACATAAAATACTGGAAGGGTTTGGTGGGCATTAACCTTGAGTTTTGGAGTTGTAGTTCACTTACATCCAGAGAGCCCTGTGGACTCGAACAATGATGGATCTGGACCAAACTTGGCACAAATACTCAATATGTCCAAATATGGTGGAGTTTGGGGGAAATAGACCTCGACAGTTTGGAGTTGTAGTTGCTGGGATTTATCGTTCATCTACAATCAAAGAGTATTCTGAATCCCACCAAAGATAAAATTGGGCCAAACTTACCACACATAACCCCCATGACCAATACAAAATACTGGAGGGATTTGAGAGGAATTGACAATGATTTAGGGGAGACCATGCTTGCTTCCCCCCACTCCCCACTTGGACTTTCAGAAACAGCTTTCCCCATGGCTGAGAGGCCTGCCAATCACAGCAGGAGGAGGGCTTTAGTGGGAGGATGCCCCCTCTGTTTCCAAAAAATAAGAGGACAGGCGAAGCAATCTTCAGCCTTCTCTGCCAAAGGGATTCCTAAGACCATCAGAAATATGTGTTTTCTGATGGTCTTTGGTGACCCTCTGAAACCCCCCTTGCGACCCCCCCAGTGGTCCCGACCCCCAGGTTGAGAAATACTGAGCTACAGCTTCCTGCTGCCATTGAGGTTTCAGAATGTGTACCCCGAAGACCTCCAACCCTTTCCACTCCAATTTGGGAGGTGTATCCAGTCCCCACATGACTCAAAATTGCCCCAAATCTCTGCAAATCATGTTGTGCTCCCTATGAAACACACAGATGCCTGTAGATCTTAAGGGGAAAAAATTAAAAATGGTCAAAACTCACCTGATTTTGAAACTGGAAGTGACATGAAGTCATGTTAGGTATGCTAGTGCAGCATTCTTGTAAGCGTGCAAGGGCAGAAAATGGTACCACCTTCTTCTCATTTGCAATCCCCAGCTTAAAACAATAGTGATTTTCTCCCCATATGAGTCCCCATATCCCCATTGCCACTGTAGATGTCCCCAGCAAACTCCAGCCTTCCATCTTTTGACACTCACTCCATGTCTCTCTTTCTACCTTTTCTCTGCTAGAGGCTCTTTGTGGTCCCAGCAAATGAATCTGAAGCCAGGATCCCTTACGCCAGAGTCAACCACAGCAAGTTCATGGTGACGGACAAGGTGGCTTATATTGGTGAGTATCTAAAGTGGAGCCCCCTGTGGCGCAGCAGGTTAAACCGCTGAGCTACAGAACTTGCTGACTGGAAGGTTGGCGGTTCGAATCTGGGGAGCGGGGTGAGCTCCCACTGTTAGGCCCAGCTTCTGCCAATCTAGCAGTTCGAAAACATGCAAATATTGATTACCTTGAGACCTTTTGGCATGTGTAATAATAATAATAATAATAATAATAATAATGATGATGATGTGCCCCCCCCTCTGCCGGTAGCACAGCAGATTAAACTGCTGAGCTGCTGAACTTGCTGACCAAAAGGTTGGAATCTGGGCAGTGGGGTGAGCTCCTGCTGTTAGGCCCAGCTTCTGCCAATCTAGCAGTTTGAAAACATGCAGATGTAAGTAGATCAATAGGTACCATTACAGCGGGAAGGTAATGGCGCTCCATGCAGTCATGCTGGCCACATTTTTTTGTTTTGTAGAAAATGACCTTTTATTAGCCAAATATGAAATACCATACAAAAATTCAAGCTTCTAAGTCTTCAGGACTCTTAATTAGGCAATGTGGGTATACTTTATTTTTTGTACTAATTTTAAAAAATTATATACACACACACACACAGAAACATACAATTTTCAAAATTCAGCAGTCAAAATACAAGTATTTTTAATACTTTACTTTATATACCCTTGGTGGCAGAGTAGGTTAAACCACTGAGCTTCTGAGCTTGCTGACCGAAAGGTCGGCAGTTCAAATCCAGGGAGTGGGGTGAGCTTCTGCTGTTAGGCCCAGCTTCTGCCAATCTAGCAGTTTGAAAACATGCAAATGTGAGTAGATCAATAGGTACCGCTTCTGTGGCGGGAAGGTAATGGCACTCCATGCAGTTCTGCCAGCCACATGAACTTAGAGGAGTCTAGGACAACGCCGGTTCTTTGGCTTAGAAATTGAGATGAGCACCACTCCCCAGAGTGGGACACGATTAGACTTAATGTCAAGGAGAAACCTATCTCCATGTGAGGCATTTACACTACCTTGAGAGAACATTGGATTGCGACCAACGTGTAACAGGTGTAACTATATCAATACTTTTCATAAATATGTAATGTATCAGTCTAAAAGAAAACCTCAGATAATCCATTTTTAAAAGATATCAAAGGCTTCAGGAAGAAAAAAAATGTTTCCATGTTTTCCCTGGGCCTTCCTGTTTCTAGGTAAGACCAACAGCTTCTGAAGTACAGTCAGTCCTTCATATCCATGGATTCTGCATCCATGGATTCAACCAACTATGGCTCAAAAATATTCCTCCAGAATCCAAAATGCAATTCTGGTTCTTGCCATTTTCATAAAATCATAGAGTTGGAAGAGACCTTGTGGGCCATCCAGTCCAACCCCCTGCCAAGAAGCAGGAAAATCTCATTCAAAGCACCCCTGACAGATGGCCATCCAGGTTCTGCTTAAAAGCTTCCAAAGAAGGAGCCTTCACCACACTCGGGTTGTCTACCTGGCAAAATGGCACTACCTAAAAGAATCCCACACCTTATGTGACTGTGGAGCAGAACAGACAACTCCGCATCTGTATGCTTGTCCACTATGCCCTGCCTCATATACAGAGGAAGAATTGTTGGGTGCTACAGACAATGCCATTGCTGTTGCCCGTTTTTGGTCAAAAGATATTTAGCCATCTGCACTCCTTCTATTTTTATTGGTTTTATACTAATTTATGCAATGCTTTTGATACAAAATAATAATACCACACTCGGGGGCAGAGAGTTCCCTTGCTGAACAGCTCTCACAGTCAGGAAGTTCTTCCTAATATTCAGATGGAATCTCCTTTCTTGTAGTTTTACTATACATCATTGTATATAATGTATGTAACTTGAGACTGAATGAATAAACAACAACAACAAACTTGAGCACCCATAGATTTTGTCATCCCCATGGGGTCATGAGACTGAACTCCAGTTGGTACTGACAGCCCACTGCAACCCTTTATTCTTCCATTTTCCTGCAGGAACATCCAATTGGTCTGGGGATTACTTCCTCCACACAGCCGGATCTGCCCTGGTTGTGAATCAAAGCGACACAGAGGCCGGGATCCAGCCCACCCTCCGGGAGCAACTCCAGGCAGTGTTTGAACGGGACTGGGACTCCCAGTACAGCCGGGAACTGAACTCCTTGGGCCAGTGGCAGGATTCTTGCAGTCCTGTTTAGACCATCTCAACCTTCACTTCCAGCCTTATATGGAGACCACTGTCTTAGAATGGCCAGAGTGACTTCCTCGAACGTCACCCGAAGACAAGATCTGGTCAACGTTTGCAAGACATTGGTTCTGCCCTGGAGCTAAGCACAAAAGGGTCTTGCTGGTGTGAAACTTCTGACTGGGGGAAATGGGTCTTTCTCTCAAATCCTTGGATAAGGAGAGAAACATACAAGCTAAGCATTAATGGATGGGGCATTGAGGGTAGGGTGGGATGGGGAGAAGAAGAATTGGGGCTTTGGCGGACACTTGTGTTCCAGTCTGCAACTGTGTCCTCTTGCCTTACAAAGGCATGGAAGCAGCAGAGGTCAATCAAATTGCACACACAAATTGGGTAAAGAAATGTTTCAGGAAGGCGAGAAAAAGAGAAAGCAACTGTTTTCTCTGTTGGAATGGCTGTAGAGATAGAGAGTGGGTTTAGATGTTAGGAAAAAAAATAGATATTTGACAAAAGTTAGAAAGGGTTTCAAGAAATCATGGATGAGGACTTCTTTGAGGATAAGTAAAGATTTCCTCTGATATTAAGTCCAACTCTGGGGAGGGAGTGGTGGTCATCTCATTTCTAAGCCGAAGAACCAGCATTGTCTGTAGACACCTCCAAGGCCAGCATGACTGCATGGAGCACCATTACCTTCCCACAGAAGTGGTACCTATTGATCTACTCACGTTTGCCTGTTTTTAAGCTGCTAGGTTGGCAGAAGCTGAGGCTAACAGCAGGAGCTCACACTGCTCTCCGGTTTCAAACTGGGAACCTTTCAGTCAGCAAGTTCAGCAGCTCAGTGGTTTAACCCGCTGCACCACAAGGGGTCCTCTTTGAGGATAGTCCTCCATTATTAGAGATCTCAAAGTTTTAGCAGAAATGTACAGCAGGCAGGCATGTAGCCCGGGGGTGGGGGGTGGTGGT